CCTTGGGTTTTGGGCCAGTGAGAAAGTAACTACTTACTAAGTCCCCCGACCCTCCAAGTAAACCCTAGGGGTCGAAGGACCCAACAAAAATTAGGGTTGAGGGTTTAGGGTTGAGGGTTTAGGGGTCGAAAGGACCCAACAATAAGGCAGGATTTTGGGGTTTAGGGTTTGGGGTTTAGGGGGCTTAGGGGCCAGGGTCTGCGGTTTTTTGGCATTTGGAGCTTACCCTTACCGTCAAGGGACTCATATTTTAAGGCTTTTCGCCCCAAAGACCCTATTATATAAGGGCTGTTGGGCTATCTTGATGCTGAGGGTCATCCTTAAACCCCAACCCCTCTATAATTATACTATAATCTGTCTCAAAATCCTAATTATGCCCCAATCCCCAAACCCAAAACCCTAAACCCCAAACCCCAAACCCTAAACCCTACACCCTGAACCCCAAACAACCAAACCCTAAACCCCAAACCCTAAACCCTAAACCCTAAACCCTAAACCCTAAACCCTGAACCCTGAACCCTGAAGGTGAAGCAGCTCTTCAGCTTCCATGCGCCACAGGCCCGGGGTGTCGTTTTGCTTTCGCCTGGGCCGCCGGGCGTGCGGCCAGAGCTCGCTTTGACGATGGCCGGGGAGCTCAAGGAAACGCTTTCGGCCGCCTGAACCCCTAAACCCAAAATTAGGGTCTAGGGGTTTAGAGTTGAGGGTTTAGGGTTGAGGGTTTAGGGTTTAGGGTTGAGGGTTGAGGTTTTAGGGTTGAGGGTTGAGGGTTTAGGGTTGAGGGTTGAGGGTTGAGGGTAGGAAGGATCCCTCTTCCCATGGCCTTGAAGGAAGCTTGGGTAGCCGAGGCGCTGTCCATGGTCCACCCTGAGCTGACGAGGAAGATGTGGAAAATGTAGGGGCCTTAATTAATAATTAGAATAGGGTTTGGGGGCCCATTATACAAAAAATATAACAAGGAACCCCCCACAATAGTATGGGTAGTTGTTAAGGCCCCTATAGTAGCAAGGGTAAGCTTGGAGTTTAGGGTTCAGGGTTTAGTGTGTAGGGCTTTAGGGTTTTAGCGCCTTCGGGTAGAGGATTTAAGGAGCCTGGGGTTTAATTTTGTCAGTTTTTCTATCGTATTGTGTACTTGAGGGGTTTGAAAGGCCTTGCTTAAAGCCCCCACCGTAGACCTACTAGACCTAAACCCTAAACCCTAAACCCTAAACCCTAAACCCTAAACCGCTAAAAGAAATTTGAAGCCTTCCTTCAAGCCTCAGCCCTAGGCTGGTCCCCTCCTCTCTAGGACCTTTTCAGGTGGGTAGTTACCGTTATAGAAGGGTTTAGGGTTTAGGGTTTAGGGAAGGTCTATACACCTTATCGAAGCCTTGTAGAAGCCCTATATATACCCTAAACTCCTCACTTAACCCTAAAACCTAGAACCTAAACCTTAAACCCTAAACCCTAACCCCAAGGGTCCCTTTAAGGGTCCCTCCTTTATACCCTAAACTCCCCACCTGTAGTTTCCAGAAATCCCCTTGCATGGCGGCGAGGATGATCATGACAGCCTTCGGCCCTCAAGAAGCGGTCGAGGAGGCGGCCCGAGCTCTGCAGAAGCTGCTCCCGGCCACTTGGGGTTTAGAGCACCACAGCTTTTCTTCTGCCTTAGGTGTAGCGTTTAGAGTATCGGGTCCAGGGCTTATACCCCTAAACCCTAAACCCTAACCAACGTTTTTGTGGGCAAAGTTGCGGAAAAAGGCCATTTCCTGGACCCCCACAAGGGTTATAACGGCCATGGAGCTCTCAGCACCAAGTCTTGAAGTCGCAGAGCCCCCAGCTGGGCAGATGCTTCGCGTGCTCCCTGTCAAGGCACGGAAGCTCTCGGGTTGAGACGGGTTTAGGGTTTAGAATTTAGGGTTCAGGGTTCAGGGTTTAGGGTTTAGGGTTTAGGGTTTAGGGTTCAGGGTTTAGGGTTCAGGGTTCAGGGTTTAGGGTTTACGGTTGAGTGATCAATTAGTTACCTATACTACTGCTGATGATAAAAATCCAGCATTACCCTAAGGAGCCTAAACTATGCGAATTGCGGTGTATTCCTTATTATGGGTAATGCAGGTTTTATATCATCAACCGTATTTTGGGGGTTCCTGGTTACAATTCTAGTATAATCCCCGAGTATAATCCCCGTGAAGTCCTACGGGGGCCTCCATAACTACCTATACTAATATGGCAGGGCTCCTTGTTATAATTCTGGTATAATATATTCCCAAAGCCCTATTCTAATTACTAAGGCTCCTACAGTGTTTCCCTTCAGTAGACCTCCTGTCCTGAACCTCGCCTACGAGGAGCTATTTGTCGAAACTTCCCACCCAGGAAGAGCCTCTGCAAGCTGTTCCTGCCGGCCTCTGCCACGAAATGCTCTTTGCGGAGGAGGCAGTGGTAGAAAAGCTGACGGACTACCATGTGGCCTTCAAAAAGGATGTCGGCCTATATGACCCTGAAGAAACACGGGAATGGCACCGACAGGCCACCGAGGCTTTAATTGCCACGTGCGAAGTTTATGTGTGGCAGGTGGGCTCTGACATTGCCACCATCTCGGTTGCTGCTAGAGCTCTGGCAGATGTTGGGCGTGGGATCACGATGGTGTACACATCGCCACCGCACCGAAGGCGGGGCTGCGCCGCGGCGTTGGTCACAGCGATTGGGGCTGCCCTCAACAAGCGAGGCCGGAGAAACAGACCTTGCTTGCATTTCTTGTATCCTTTCCCTAAGGGCCCATACACCCAAATAGATATACTTTGGTCTTAAAGTAGTCCCTATATAAGTACTTTGGGGTCAATGTATATACTATTTGGGTACATGGACCCTCAGGGTTTGCAAAACGACATCGACTTGAGGCCTTCGGACGTGCCTCAACGCAGATGCAGGGGGAGCGTATCTGGGTTCTGGAGTACCATACTTTAATACTTTTTGTTTTGGACCTGTTCCTTAAAGGAACCACTAAACCCTAAACCCTAAACCCTAAACCCTAAACATAAAAGTCTATACTTTTTCCTGGTTACTTCAAAGCCCAGGTATGGTGCGAAGAGCCTCTACGCAAGCCTCGGCTTCGCAAACCAAGGCCTGATGCAGCAAGTGCGCTTCTCTGAATGTGCGCCCGAGCCGTGTGCCTGAAAGGCACAGAGGGTTGAGTCTTAGGGTTTAGGGTTTAGGGTCTGCTATATATATATATACACATAGTAGACTGTACCCAGCTATTGTTACATGCTTAGTGTTCCAGTATGTAACGTATTTGCAATGTAGTACATACTAGTATTCATTGCTGTTGCTATTGGTTTTTACTGTCATCAGAATCGTGGTTATTCTTTTCGCTATGACCACAACTATTGCAAGAATGCACCCTAAACCCTAAACCCTAAACCCTGAACCCTAATCCGATCCTGGGAAAAGTTTTCATGCTGCCCAAAGCAGGGTTCATCTGCTAAGGGAGACCGAAGACTTCCAATGGTTTGCCAACGTTGGACCATGTACAGTGTACAGTACGTGGGGGTTTCCAAGAATAGGGGACCCCTCCCCCCCCCCAAGAAAAGAAAAACATAATATAACACCACACCCAAATAGTGGGATCCTTCTGATAAGGACCCCAAAATCAGGTAGCCTAATTTTCGGAAACTCCCACATGGCAAAACACGGAGAAGCAAGAGGGGCAATGATACTCAGCTCTGCAGCTCTGCTTCCTACCGGGCATCAGCAGCAGAACAAAAAGTAGGGTTTCGGGTTTAGGGTGGTCGGCTTTGGCATGCCAGATTGTGTCTTTTCCTTCAGGGTGGGACTTGCGCCGTCCCTGTAGGCTTTCCCACGAAGTGGCATAATATGAGATAGTGTGCTATTAAGCTAGTATATACTTTTGTAGTATACTATTGAAATCAAATTGTATAGCCCTAAACCCTAAACCCTAAACCCTAAACTCAAAGTATATACTATGACTGTTGGATGCCTCAGGCCCTACCATGTCCGCGAGCCTGGTATTGGATTCATGTTGAGCATCCGGCCAAGAGCCTTTTATTATGGTACAGTAGTAGTAGTAGTAGTAGTAGTAGTAGTAGTAGTAGTAGTAGTAGTAGTATAGTAGTATTACTATAGGGTTTAGAAATCAGGGGTTTAGGGGTTTAGGGTTCAGGGTTTAGGGTTGGGTTCAGAGGTTCAGGGGTTCAGGGTTTGGGGGTGAAGGGTTGAGGGTTCAGGGGTTCAGGGGTTTAGGCTCAAGGTGTTGGGGTCTACTGGGCTTTAACTTGAGGTTTGTAGGGTACATAGGTCCACGGCTTAGGGTTTGGGGTTTAGGGTTTAGGGTTATATAAGTGTCTTGAAATGTCATGGGGTGTTATAGCAATATGACCCTTCCGTTTGTCTACGAGCAAGACATAGGTTTAACAACCAACTACTTCTAGAGTCATGGTAGTACCCCACCCACCGAGCTCCAAGCGCAGACGGTGTGGAGCTATGGTACTATGAGGCCATAGCCTACTACTCTTACCCTTAAAGGACTCATATTGTAAGGCTTTTGGGCCCAAAGACGCTTTCATGTAAGGCATTTGGGCGATGTTGATGCAAAAGGCTACTTTGTGTGTGTGTGTGTTGTCTCTATAGGCATCACTTTCGTTCTGTTGAAGGCTTGCTGACGAGGCATGCTAAGGGCTTGTCTTGAAATGATAGTTTTTGAAGTTCAAAATATAATCCGAATCTCCCTAAACCTTAAAAAAACCCTAAACCTTTAAACCCTAAACCTTTAAACCCTAAACCCCAAAACCCTAAACCCCAAACCCTAACCCGCAAGCAACATGAGAAGGGAGCGCCGGACTCTTGGGGTCGAAGGGGACGACTTTTGACTCGGGTCTAGGGGTTTAGGGTTCAGGGGTTTAGGGTTTAGGGTACTTGGGTTTAGGATAGTAGGGGTTGCGGAAAGTACCCTTATGTACATTCTTAAACCCTAAAGCCTAAACCCTAAACCACTTAAACCCCGTTGTTTCTCAGATTCGACCAGGGATCGTAACGCATACGGAACCCGAGAAGCCTCATGACTGGGCCCTACTAGGGTTTAGGGTTTAGGGTTTAGGGTTTCAGGTTTAGGAACGCGAAAAGCGGATCTCTTCAGATAGGAGCCGCCCTTTATAATGAGAAGGGTTGCTGGTGTAGGAAGGTCAGAAGTATGTGGCCCTCATATGGACCCTCAGGCCTTTTCCGGCACCCTTAAGGGTACATATAGGATATATAGTAGGTGTATAAGGATCCCAGGGTTAAGGGTCCATACTAGGGGTGCGTGGTTTCAACCGTAGAATTGCAGTAGAAGCCGACAAGTTGGAAACGAATAGCCTTAATCCTTAAGAGTCATGTTTAAAGGGAGTCCTAGCGCTATTTGTCCTTAATCCGATTTCCAATTCTTTGCGGCTTACGATGTGCTTATGTCAAGGAATCCTGATGCAGTTTCCAGTAATTGTCGAGGCGCCTAAATTACATTGACCCCCCGACACCCTTAACCCGCGGCGAGGTCCCTAAACCTAAACCCTCAACCCTAAACCCTTACAGACCCTAACACCCTAAAACCCTGAAAACCCTCAAACCCGAACACCCCAAAACCCTAAACCCTACTCCCTAAACCCTTATAACCCGAACTTAACAACTACACCCCGCCCCCAAAACCTAAAGCCCTCAACCCCCAACCCCGAGGCCCGGAGGGGTTTGGGAGTTTGGGATGCACTCGCTACAGCCTGAGGGTTTAGGGTTTAGGGCTTAGGGTTCAGGGTTTAGGGTTCAGGGTTCAGGGTTTAGGGTTTAAGGTTTAGGGTTGAGGGTTCAGGGTCCATGTACCCAAATAGTATATACTTAGGCCTTAATGTAGTCCCTATATGGGTACTTTAGGGTCAAAGTATTCTCATATGGATACAGGGACCCTTAGGGTATAGTCATACTGAGAAACCCTACGGAATACGGTTCAGGGTTTTGGGTTTAGGGTTTAGGGTTCCCTAACCTAGAGGCTCCATATCTTCTAGCAGTATGGAGTTAAATCCCAAGGCCACCATGCTTATTATATTATATGGCCTTGGGGACCTAATTCCGTAGTGGTAGTACATGTGGAGCCTCTGGGTAAATTGTAGAAGGACTCGTATGAGGGTTTGGGGTTCAGGGTTACCCTAAACCCTAAACCCTCAACCCTATAAAGCTGTCAGGTGGGATCGGTGAGGCTTCGCGTGGACACGGGATCGGACCCGCCCTTGCCGCCGAAGCCGAAGCCGAAATCGCCGAACTCGCCCAGGAAGAGTCCCAAGGACTCCAAGACCCCGTAGTCAGTTTAGGGTTTAGGGTTTAGGGTTTAGTTTGAGGTCATTATTATACCGGGTGCCGTACTATGTTGGGGACCTAAAAGGGGACCCTAATTTAGAGAACTACCCATGTGACAGATAGATCCAAGGGCCTCCCCAGCTCACAGTCTCCTCTGCGTCACCCACATCATCAGAGCCATCACACACATCGGCTTCCT